TGGCAACTCACTGATTTAAATCCTCAAGTTACAAAAATGTAGCAAATATACATTTAAATGTTAGAGAGTCCATATTTTTACTTTACCTGGGACTATTCCATAGATCTCTTCTGCTATCCTGGCAGCCTCTTTTCTGTTGCCTTTAACAATATAGAAATGGGTCAGCAAAGCCAAAGAAATCTTAATTAAAAGCTTGAAGCAAAACAAAGCAAAAATGGCAAAATAAATGTTAGTGAAAGCATGGAGTATAGAACTGCCCTCCATTTTGGTTTGCTCTTTGAATAGTTTCTCAGGTTGGCTAAGTGGCACTGGGCTATTCTTGGTATCATGTGTCATCTATTTTAAACACTTCAGGACCTGCTGTTCCTCACTTACCAAAAATACATTCTGGTTTTATTTGGTAGAGGCTATTTGATACTAAATAACCAAGGATAAGATACTTTGAACATCTCTGCGTACAAGAAAAAACCAGAAACACTTTTCCAAACCCACATAAATTAGCATAAATTTTCAGATGCTCTCCATGCCACCTGAAAGCCTGAACATCCACATTAGATTAATTCTTTGATGTAGCAGTTCCATTTACAAGACTGCACAGGTAAAGATGCAGAAATTATTCAGAGATTCAGCAAAAAGAATGCTTTTCTGTGTTTCCCATCTTGATAACAGGCTTTGCTGGTATTCAGATACAGAACAAAGAAAACATGTCAAAGAAAAGCATTATCATGAAATAATTTGAAATAAACCCACATATTTCCAAAGCCAGGGCTAAGAAGTCAAAGTTATTCTTGGAGGAGAAAAATACATTGAAATTGTGTGATAAGAAACACATAACATACTGGTATTTTCCATCAGTCAGGGATAAAGAATGCTGTCCACTGCTATCTCTTGCAAACAGAATCTTACTGTTTTGAAAAAATAGAAATATTTTTACTTCATCCATCATTGATTCAAAGGTATAATATTTGAAATCGAAGAAGATGTACCCTTTCTTTAACTGCCCTTTTTACTTTCTGAAGGCACACGGCTTCCACAGAGAACAAAGTATTTTTTCTGCGTGTAATTAATTCAATCTATGTAGAATATCCACCTCTTTTTCTTTTAAACTTTGATTGATTCCTACTTTCCTACATGCACCACAGGAGATTTATTTCTTTCGATGAATCTCCTCCTTGCCCAGGTATTCTTACTCTTCAATTTATACACCTGTCAAAGAAAAGAGCAGGATGACTCTCCTCTCTTAGGGATCCCAAAGAGATAGTGGATATGCAGAAGGAAATTTTACAGTGAATTATTTCCCTGGACACTTTAGAGGTAACTTATTTTGGTTTGTAGCAATATAACTGGCTTAGCGCCTTAGTGAAATTCCAGTAATACCAAAGAGGTCTCCAGGTGCTCTAAAACACCATGAGGAAGTTTGACCACTTGGAAGCAGTCACAGGAACATGACTCTTCCAGAAGGACAAACACTATTTGTGTAGCAGCAAAATTATCCTCCTGGCTTCAGAACAAGACAACTAAAGATTTTTAGTTAAATTATGGAATGAGTCATTTGAGAAAAGTTTGTGTAATCTCTTAATCTGTTCTTAGTCTACAAGAGCACTAGGAAAATTACTGTGGTGGATTAAAAAGAAAATCATCAGTGGGAAGATGGCTGAACAGCACATGGAAACAATATTGGTGAAGGTGGTAGTCGGGTAACCATTGCAAGATCAGGAGTGATCACTGGGAAATGGCAGGTATTTTTTAAACTGAAGAGAGGTGAGCAACACAATGTAGGCATGAGAACAGGTAGAACACAAGAGACCAGAAATGACAGTGCAGAAACAGGATTCTCATTGTTCCTCCCTCACTCTTTGCAGAATCATCATTGTGAGCTGAATAAGGTGGATTATACAACTCCATTGAGACTTGAGTGAACAAGTCAGCCCTCCATAGATAAAACACACCTCATTGAGAACTTCTGCAAGATGCCCAAACTACTCCATGAACCACTCTTGCTTACAACTAGGATTAATAAATTGTTAAATCAAAATATCCAGGAAATGTCATGAGAAAGTGAGTGAATAAAAGTAGTTTAGCTAGATCCTCCAAAGAACTGGAAAGACAAAGTTTATATATCCTTAGTTTACAAACGTGCAAGGAATAAGAACAAAAGATAAGGCAATCCACCTTAGAAGACAACTGATTTTCATTTTGGTAGACCGTAACTTTATCCAACAGGGAGAAATGTCAGATGTGACCTGAAGAATTTGGCAAGGAAATAAAAATTGGAGGGATCCTCATCTCAAAGAAATGAAAAAAGGTATTGGTCTATTCTTATGCTAGACAATCTTTGAATTACAGCATTGTATTTCTAACTTATATCATCAAGAGTTTGAACATTAAATATATTCAAAGTAAGACAAGTGGGGAAAAAGAGGAGACAGAAACACCCTGTCTTGAACAGAAGAGATCAGAACAAAAACATCTGTACAGAGAGCTGAGATATTTATTTTCTATCAGCTTGGTCTAATAAATGGCACTACTTCCCATACAAGCCTTGCCTCATTAGCATCCCTAAGTCAGCACACTTACAACACTCCTGCTTTTGAAAAGGGATGTATACAGTGACTCACTGGTTGCTCTCAAGGCAATGTGGGGTTCATCTCACCTATCTGCCACCCACCACAGCACGTAAGGTCTGGTTATCGAAACTCCTGCTGCTGCTTGGGCAGCAAGACAGCAAATTCCAGCAGGCAATTAATTTCCCCCATCTGCCTCCAACACCTGTGCTGGCCAGTAATGCATCAATCCGTCCTGCTTAAACAATGAGCTTAAAGAACTAGCATTTTCTAGACAACCATTTATTCACAGTTAAAGTTCGATGAATCCCTCACAAATATCATCTCCAGAATTACGACAGTGTTGCAGCAATTCAGAACCTAAAAATAACCCAATCTACCTGCTGGGTTTACAAGAAAAATGCATCATTTCAGTAAAATCGTAAATTCAGATGCATACCCATATCCTCCCTTTAGTTTTGTTCCCTTAAAAAATATCCACCTTTTATCTATGTCAGTGCTCAAGTAATTAGGAAAAATTATGGAACTCGACATACTATGGGTGTGATGATGCACAGAAGAGTAGTTTAAAGACAGCAAATCAACATTAAAAATATCTAAATATTTTTTGATTCAAAAACCCATAAAACCATTTTGAGATTGATTATTCTTATATCTATTTATATAAACTCTGTATTTTATGGAAGCATCAGAAGGATCAATTTTTACAATTATTTTTTAAAAGCCTACACACATATGAAAAAAAGGGACTAGTGAAGAGAAGTAAATATCAAAAGGGAAAAATTATGTTTATTTCAAAAAGATGCAGATCTGTGCACATCCACTAAAATGCAATCTGAAAGACTAATCTTACATCCATACTTAACTAGAGGCTTGTTCTCATTTAACATACAGTTTTCAATTATCAACACATCTTAATTCACAGCATCTGCATATAATGTATTGGAAACACCATTTCTCCTTGTGCCTGGGGGATGGAATTTCATTGCAGATTTTGGGGGATCTTCTATAAAGGTGTTTTCTGGGTGTTCCCTCTACCCACACGCCAGAGGCTCCGCTCTGTGCAAGACCTGAGTATCACTCTCTCTTTGGTAACATCTCCTCGTTATTTCACAATGATCATGTTACCTACAAGCACAGTTTAAAAATTTTAGATTTTTTTTCTGTTATTTTATAAATTTCTAACTACACTCATTATCTCAGTTCATTTTTTTAGTGCTGTGATTATTTTATTTAACTTTTTCCATGTCACCCACTGATTTTTTTTAAAACTGTAAAAATGGTTCAGAGACATCACCCCTTACCCCACTGCACAAGGCCAGAAAATGAATCATTCCTGCAGACAGTTCTGCGTAATACAAGTGGTGTTAATTGAGAAACAGCATATTTGTGGTCAAACCAGTTATGGATTAAGTTTTTATGGCAGCTTGTACGGAATGTTTTTTAATAATCATCTTTTTATAAGAACTCCAACCACCAGTGATGGGAAGCAGCAACATGGTGTGTATTCTTGTACTTCCTAATTGTATGTTCCCACATATTAATGAAACGTATCCATTCTTTATGGAAAAGTTAATAAACCTCTACATAAACTTTACATTGGGCTTGTAAACAAGAGTATAACAAGGTTTTATTATGTTATTCATAAGTACACAATGTTCCACAAAAGAAAAAGGTATTTTGAATAGGTTTTGACAATCTCTTTGATTTGTGTTTGTAGATGTTGCAGGAAACCAAAAAGAAATAAACCAGAATCAGTAAAATATTATTACAAATATATATATAACATTTCCCTGGAGTGATAATTAGTATTTTCAAAAAGTTGTAAGAAACTTGAATGTTTGGGAAAAAAAAAAAACAAACACCAAAAAAAGAGTGACTTAGAAAAGTAAAATATTATCTTAATTCCACCCATTTATCCTTAATCCATATGGCACCATTTTAGTTGACCTCCAGTTTTAATGTAGAGCTCAAGAAATTCAGAATGTAATACAACACATTGTATGTTACATATCAAAGGCTAAAAATTCTAGTAAAAGAAAATAGTCTTTGTATATGGCGTTTATTTTACATTACCTTTCTGTGTTCCGTGAAAACATGTTCAATGAAATTATGTTTGTGGAATTACATCTCTAACCAAACAAGACGAAGTTGTGTTTTAAATACTACCCTTCAACGGTTTGGAAACAGCATTTTCATATTGCACAGTGTTAATATTAATACAGTGTCTGACAGTACACAATACTCAAGAGGCATAAAATTTAGTCATCAGTGATGCTTGGAAAATAAATAAACCCAGTGCATTAGACAAGGGGGAATTTTAGAGGTGGTTAACAGAAATGAGATGAACGCCTCCTCTCACACACTGGCACACTGTGCTGCCTCTCGTCCCAGGTATACATTGCTCAGGAATCCTAACAATTGCAAGGAGCCACATTTTTTTTTTACCTCTCCATGAAAAGCATCCACTTAAGGAATACCTTCCACTTAAGGGATACCTTCCTAAGATTCCTAAGATTTCACTTGCAGAACCTGACAGACAGTGTCTCAGATGTTGTGTAGGTGAAATCTCACACTCTGAACACTGTCTCTCCCGGAGATGGACTGAAATGCCACTTTGGTCTTAAGTAAGGGGAAGGAAAAAGAGAAAAGGGGAAAAAAAAAAAAGGTGGGTAGGAGGTGAGAGGGCAGAGAGAGTGATCAAGCACAATGGTACTTGTTAAGCCCTTCAGAGATTTCACTCTCTCTCACACGTTACTTCACACTTTGGCACAGTCTGCTGGAAGAGTTTTCAGGCCTGAGATGTTTCTGAAGGCTGTATTATCTCTAAATAATACTATTTCTTCGGCTATGTACTGAAAAAGCTGCTATAAGCTTTACACCACTTTCACACACGTAAGTGAACTGAATAAGTTTAGCACCTCTGAAAATATCAAAAAATCATTATGAAATTTTCATTTAGCAACAGGAGGATCAAATCTGACTAGGGAAGAACTTCAAAATAATAATGCTGTGCAGGCAAAACACTGTCACTGGGACACAACTATTAGAAGTAAGTCTCTGAAATTTACATGGTAATGGAGTTTATGACTAATTTCAAGTGCCATTTTCATTTGAGGACAGAAAAAATGTGTTTTGTTGGGTTTGGAGTTATTTTGAAAGAAGTCTTACAATAAAGATCACAGTAAATATCACGGATTAGCAGGGACTACTGTAAGCTAATAATGTTTGTGTTTTGCTTTTCCAAATACCACTAAAGTTTAAATCACTTTCTGAAATATTCAGAAAAATCCTGTGGTTTTGTTTCAAAGGCTTTTAACACATATAAAACCCCATGTTCTCCTCCCAGCTTTAAGTGCAAAGAGATGTCTGTAAATTTGCATGAATTCAAAACTAAACTAAAAATATCATCCTAAATTGAGGTAGCACATTTAACCAAGTTTCTTTCCAAGAATGTCAGAAAGAAACTGAAGAACTGTACGAGTAAGGTCTCTCTCAGCAAGAATTAAACTCTTCAGTGACTGATGCATTCTTCCCTCACCACTCGAGCATTTTAGGAGCTTGGAAGTTCTTCTTTAACTCTTCTTTTTTTTTCCCGAAAAATACTGTTTAGTCCACGCACCTTCAGGTCCTGTGGCATCTATTGCAACATCAATAATGGAATCTGGAGTCATCCACCTCAGAAACGCCAAGAGAAGGAAGTTCAGAACAGCAAAAAAAGCAAAAATACACCCAGTCACTGGGCCACAGTGAGACATTAGTCTGTCAAGTCGTTCATCCATTGGTAAAACCAGTTCATCTGCAACCCTGTCATACACCTAAATGGGGAGGAGACATAAAATAAGGTCTTAAAACAGGTAACTTAACAATGCATTAACAACTGTATTGTGTACAATGTGAGTTCCATGCATACTTCTGCCAATTATATGAACATTTTTCCTAACAAGAGCTTTGGTGGGGTTTTTTGAAGAACGGGCTACATAAAAGAAACTGAAATCTAGGCTAACTTCTATAAAAACTTTGCAATTCAAATATTGCTTGAAGTTACAAAATCATAAAATGAATTGTACTGATGGCACTTGAAAATGATAAACTGGTTGTACATGATACTTCAAGGTGGCTTACAAGAGATATATAAGTGCACTACAGTGTAAGTAAGAAGCATGTGGTTCATCTGTTCTCTCCTTCCTAGAACACAGGAGGTGAAGTCAAAAGTGACACATCTCCACAGGTTTTTGTAACATTACTGCAGTTACCATTCTTCACTAATGGCAGAGGTTTTATGCTGAAGTGCGGTTCTAATTCTGAAATACCATTTCAAAACTATGAAAATTAATTTTCATTACAATGACAGCTTGTGTAAATTCAGCTGTAGTTCAGCCTTCTGGCATTAAACTACCTCTCATAATTTTAAACCCCTTGTTAGCACGTGGCAGACAAAACTTAGTCATGACCTGTCTTTACATTTTCATACATCTTACACAGTACATTTTCCAGCTATGCCAGAAAACTTACTTCATGTGAAGACTTGAGTAAATACATGAGTAGAAATCTAACTAAAGAACTAGGCTGTTCTTCACAATATTTGTCAGCAGTTACGGCATATTAAAAAACACAAATAGAAAAACCCCCACGTATCTAGGGAAGTATTTGGGGAAAACAAAAAGCATCTTCTGAACCTTTTAAAACCATATATGTTTGACAGGAAACCTGTTTAAAAATTACACTGGAAGATTACACAGAGAATGTACATTGTAATATTTCAAAGCAGCAGCTGTTTCAGAAATGTATTTTATGAGAATTTAAAAGAAGTGGTTATACATACTTTCTCAGTTCTCTCTGCAACGTTTCTCCATGTATAAAATGTCTTTACTTTATTATGAACAGTTTCTGGAGATGGAAGTGTTCCTGATCTGAGTTGGGCAATAGCTTTTTCTAATCCATCACACAAAGATTTCACGGAGGGCTCACATAAAATAATGAGATTTTCTGGAAGCACCTCAGGAATCCCGCCAACTCTTGTACTCACCACCTTGGAAACAAGCAAAAGAAACAGGACATATGCAGGACAGCAATAAAATTGTGTGGTGGCACTGCTAATACAGTGTTTAGATGCAGCACTTGAGAAGAATATCACGCTTTGGGAATTTGATCGGTACGTGAATTCCAGGTGTAGGCCCCAGAAAAGACCTGACATAGCAGATTATCTTTAACAATGTCCAGAGTGATTCTTTGGTGGCATGATAAACCAGAAGACTTGGTCTAATGAGTGCTTATGAGACATCTTTCCTAAAGGTGTTTGTAACAGTACAAAACTAAATCCGTGTAACCAGGTTTTGGACTCTTCCTCCAAAGTCCCTCATAAAATGTTACCTCTATTTGGAGAGGACAGTTTTACCACATGCACTTTCAGTCTATGCCCTCTAGGCTACTGAACATTTACAAGAATTTATTTATCAGTTCAGTAATTTTAATCTGAATTATTATTTTTAGAAGGAAATCAGAAATTACTAAGACTCACATTGTGCAATCATCTCTAAAAGCAGGCAACAAAAAGAAACTGCATAACTTCCTCACCTCTAAAGAGGAAAACAGATGACAAGGGAATAACTACCACAACTAGGTTGTAACTGCCATCAAAAGATACTGAAGTAAAAAAAAAAATAAAGTCACTCATATTTTCTATGCTTCCTGTAAATCAGATACTCATATCAGTCTGTCTTTTTAATAAAGTTTCTTCATATTTTAATGTGAAAATTTAAGTTCTTTATGGCTATTGATTTGACTTCTTTTAAGTTGTTAATCTGAGTTGTAAATTAGCCAGAAAGGACTTTACAGTTCTCTCTCTCTCCAACTCTTCTCTTGAATCCCTACATAGTCAGGTCATTTTTCTGCAGCTCCTCTCGAAGCAATGTCAAAGTAAACGTTTGTGAACACCAACCATCCCAAAACTCTGTAAAGGAGTACATACAAAATAGCATTTTGGAGAGGCAGTCTGGCTAGTTAGGGGAACTGAGAGCAGACCTAAGTTTTATTTCCAATTCTGCACAAATTTCTTCTCAAAGCTTAAGCAGTTGCAATTAACCGTTCTGTCTCAGCTTCCAGGTGATCTGTAAATGGGGATAATATTTGTCCACGTTTTTAAAGACAGTCTCAGATGAAACCAAATGTTACAACCACATATTAGTTGATTGTGACCTTTGTTTAAAATGGATAAATGCTCTCTAGACACTGAGATTTTTTTTTTACCTGTAAACCACAGCTTGCTGCTTCCACAATAGCCATACAAAAGGCCTCAGTGAGGGAAGTGTTGAGAAAAATGTGTCCCTGGACTAGCACATTTCTAACATCCTGGTGTTCCAAGGCTCCAAGAAGACGTACCCTGCATATAAGAGGACAGAAATAATAGAGATAAACACTAAATTTGGACTGTAATAGTGCTGTACAGTGTTACATATGTTCTGAAAAAGGTACCAGTGGTTCACACTTGTACAGTTAGAGGATGAACCAAGGCACCTTGGTTCCATTTTCTCTAAATTTTTCCAGCAATGGAGAAACAGAAGACTGCTTTTTATTGTCAAACTGAAAGAAACTTCTGAAAATAAAGTTGAGGGGAGAAGTTGCTGTTATAAGGACAACTGCCTTCAAAACATTGCTACTGAGCTTTCCAGTTCTGCAAGAGAAAATGGTTTCCTTCAGTTAATAGCTAAGATTTGTCAAATGCATTGTTTAAATTTTTACTGTGAGGTCTGATCAATCAGAGTCTGAGGGGGAAAAGTATTTATGATCAGAACCTATTATTTTTAAGAGATACCAAAAAACAGAAAAGAGTAAAAGAAGAATGATACTGAAAAATAATTTTATGAGGGGAATCATTGATGGAACTACAAAACAGGCAACAAAAAAAATAGAAAAGAAAATGAAAAATTAAGAACATAAAACTGGCTTTGATCATGAAAAAAACCATAAATAAATATGTATCATGGAAACATTTTGGTAACACGGTACATGTTTGTAATACCACAAGAGCATTAGATAAGCTCTATGCCAAGGGTTTCATAGTGAAATAAAAAAAATTACTAGCAGTCACCATCACAGCAGCAGTGACACAAATGAGCTAACACCTTTGGCCACACAGTAATATGTGATCCAAGTACCATGGTTGCAGAGAGGAATATGACAAATTTATATCTAAGTCAACTTTTCTATGACTTGAGTGAAGGTTCATTTAGAGTCTATTTTTATTAATCATCTTGCAGGATCACAGTCTCACTCTCAAAGTCTTCAGCAAGTGTCTGGTCTATTTGCTTTGCCTTCAATAAATTTCATCTTTGCCAGCCTCAAATTTTCAGTTTTTTTGGGGGGAGGGTGCAGGCAGTTCCCCACCCCTGAAGTACATTGAAAGGTCATAGACATTCACAAAACAAACCTGTCATGGAGCTGGTATCTTTCCCGGACTTCTTCCAGCACGATTCGTTTTGGTCCTTCTCCTCCAACTAAGAAATGTAACTCTGGATATTTCTGACAGAGCTCAGGAATTATACCACTAAGCAAATCTATACCTAAGAGTAGAAAATTAAGGGCAAGCAGTTATTGTACTTGATTTCAGAACTTCTCATGATGTATCCCACCGCAATAACTCTATTCAAGAGTAGGGGAAAAAAAGTCTCTTGAAGACAGTTACACTGTTGTATATAAAATTATGAAAAAAACCCACAGTTTTTGATCTCTTAAGAGACAAATATGAAAAATCACTTAAGTTGCTGTTACTTCATTAAATAAAAAACTATTAAAACACTTCTAACAAAATAGATAGATTAGGGCCTAAATCATATGTCCAACATAAGCCAAACCTTCCATTTTATAAATTGCAATTTTCAGTATGTTCAGTATTACAGAAGAAACAAAACTCTGAACCAACACACACAAACCAAAATGTACATTTCTTCTTCTTGAGTGCACAGACACAAAAGATCAGAACGGCGACCTCACCACTCCCATTGAAAATTCCATCCATACCACAGACACAGTATAAGAGGTACCTAACCAAGACCTTCCTAAAAAAAAGAACCCAAATAAACTCACATTTTAACCCCCATTACCTTTTCTGTAAACAAGTCTGCTGACAACAACAATTGTTACTGTACTGTCATCCCTCCTTGACGGGTCTGGAGTAAAGTCAGTGGGATCGACAGCGTTGGGGATGACAGAGACTATCCGAGGGTCCAGAGCCGCTCGCAGCACCGTGTTCTCCTTACTCGTGTAGGACACGCAGATGATGTGGTTGGTGTCGCACAGGGACACCGTCAGCAGCTTGTTGGTCAGCACCGAGCTGACATCAGCGAACCCGAAGAGGGAGTGGTCCGTGAAGACGGTGCGCAGCCCCATGGTCTTGGCGTGGAACAGCGCGTCGTGGGCCATGGCGGAGAAGGAGCTGTGGGCGTGCACGATGGTCACCCTCTCCCGCACGAAGATGTACCTGAGCAAGGGCAGGCTGTGGAACAAGGTGGTGGCCGTGGACTGGTTGTACATCACCTTTAGGGGCAGGTAGTAGACTTTGAGCCCGCTGGTGAGATAGCGGACGCCCTTCCTGTGGCCGTAGGCGTGGGTGACCACCAGGACCTTGTGGCCGCGCTCGATGAGGCACTGCGACAGCTGGTACACGTGGCTCTCCACGCCCCCCATGTTGGGGTAGAAGAAGTCCGACACCATGCACACGCTGTGCGCCGCGGGGCCTCTGCCCGCCGTCCCGGGCCCGCTCCTGCCGGGGGAAGGAACCACAAGGCGCCATCACTCGCCGGCGGCCGCCCCCGACGACCCCCGGCCCCCGAACTGCCGGCGGCACTGTCAGGCGCGGCCACGAGGCCCGCGCAGGCCGCACGCACCGGGGGGCGGCGCCGCGGCCCCTTGAGGAGTCCGGTCACCCCGGCGGCCGCCCCGGGGGAGCGCGGGGGCGCTGAGGGCGGGGGGACCGCACACGTACCTGCCGGCGGCGGGCGCTCCCTGCGCGCTGCCCGGCGCCATCTCGCCATTGCCCAGTCACCGCGGCAACCGCGCGCGCCCGCACCGAGCCGCGCCGCAGCCAATCACCGCCCTGCGCTGCGTCACGCGGGAAACGGAGCGCCAATCGGGGAGAGGGCACGTGCCGGGGGCGGGGGCGCCGCGCGTCAGTCCCGCATCCCGGGGTCCCGCCCTCCGGGCATGACCCTGGACAGTTGTCAAAAAAGTGTAGTCCGGAGTGATGGAAAGAGGTGAGCGTGCTGTAAAGGGAAGGAATTGCCTCACAATTCCAATGGCTTTGCCCTGCCCTCAGTGGAGGAGCTCTCCTGGAGTGCTTCTGTTTGGCTCGATCGCAGCTGGATCCCCCGAAGCGTTCTCGATTCTTCTGCCACAGGTGCTGGAAGCTTGCTGTCTCTAAGTAAACAAATATGATTTTTACAGGCGGCCCAGGAGCTTAAACGCTGGGAAAGCATCTGAGTTGCGTGACTTGTGCTCTGACAGCCCGGGCTGGCATCACCTGGCTGTGTATTCTTGGTCTTCTGGAGGAGCTTTGCCATCAGCTTTTTGCAGCTTCAGCACCGGCCTGACTGCCAGGAAGGGTGTGATCTCACCAGGCTGGGGTTGCTCATGCCTCTCCTATGTAGTCTCACAATTATGTGTGGCAGGTCCTTCCTCTTGCCAAGATTTCTGATACAAATTTTGTCAGATTCAATTCTGTCATCACTCCTATGCAAATATATGTATCATGAGTGACAGTACAAGCTGACCAAGGCTGGAGTGCTGGCTGGATTCCTGGTTAGGTTGAAGCTTGGACAGATGTGGTTTGGAAGCATTGATCCCACAAAGAACTGAGGAGGAAATCAGGCAGTTCATTCTAGGGACTGAAAGACATGAAAGACACTAGTGTGTTGAATAAGAAAAACATTGCTTGTTGTTTGAATTTTTCTCACGTGTTCAGAAAGGCGGGACCAGTATTGGCAAGTCTGATTTCATCATCGGATGTTGCTCTGGTGTGGCAAGAACCTGAATTTCGGGGTGAGAAGCTGCGTGTGAGGCCAGAAGAGGGGAAGCTTCTCACCAGCAGCAGCAGGGTGTGAAAGAAGAAGAGACTGAGAAGCAAGGAGCCTTAGGGATCCTAGTTCTTAGAAGAAACTGTATCCTGAGTGTAAAGCAGTGGCCTTAAATTACATCTATGAAGAAAACCCCAAAAATATCATCCAAGTAGTGCCAGGAGAAGGAGGTTCTCAGCTGCAGCACACCACGATGTAAGCCCTGGTAAATGATGGTGGTGACCTCCCTTGCTGTCAGGCTGCCTGAAGAATCAAGCTGTCCCAGTCACCAATTTTAGATGTCAGAAAAACAATGCTTATGGTTTTAACTATTAGGTAAATGTTGGGGTTTTTTAAACTAGTTCTTTTTCTGCACTCTCTAAAGAAGATGTAATTTTTGGTATGCAAGCTTAAAAATCCAAAGAGAAATCATAAATGGTAAATGACAAAGCAGCCCCTTTCTTCAGTAAAAGAAGTGGGATTTGATGTGTTCCATAAGCTAATGCTGACCCACTACTGTGCAAAGCCAGAATGCTGGCACTGACCTACAAAACCTGCAATAGGACAGGTCCACTTAATCTTATAAACCTCTTTTTATGCCACAGCAGTTGTAATTTTTCGTCCCTCTATATTTGTCTGAACTTTGGAGGGAACTTGGCACTTTCCCAGCAGCTGGCCATAGGCTCCACATGTCTTTCTGAAGGAGATCAGGTAAAGTATTGTGGCCAAGCCTTCATGCCCCTGGCCTGGCATGTTGGCTCTGGTTGTTTGACACCTGTGTTCTTCAATAAACATGTCCAGTTGTGCCTAATGTCATACCTGTCAGTGTTCCAATCAGTCTCCCTATATCAGCAGCCTTCTCTGGTTGTCATGTTCAAAGGACCTTGAAAAGTTGGTCTACCAAGGAGCCTAGGAGAAACCTTAATGGAAAGAAATCTTTTCCACTGCAAAGTTGGCAAAGGTGCTGCTAAATTTTCTCTCCATGGTTGGTTCAGAAAGCTGGGGTAACAGATTTTTCACTGTCTGTGGTGTTGTTTTGTTTAGTAAGAAAATTGTCACAGATCCTGGACAGATCCAGAGTTTGTCCTGCCCTGATCTGAGGTGGAACTGATATCGAAGGCACCAACAACTGAAGAGAGAATCAAATTTTCTTACTTTCTAAATGCTTGCAGTCAATGTATTCACTCCCTCATTTAAAGCACGTACAAGGTCAGAGTGAGGCTGTGGAATATGTAAAGTAGAGAGTAAAGATGTTAAACCAGTGACAGCACAGTAATTGCTGCTTCCAAGCTTGGTCCTTGAATGCTCTCTAAAGCATCCTCATAAATTGAGTTAATGGAGAGAGAAGATGGAGGACACTTAAAGAGACTCCTGTGGCTTTGTTCTGGTAGCACATGCCATTGTTCCTCAAGGAGACCACTTCACTGTTCTTGAAATTGTATGGAAACTTTTTGCTGGTACTCTGTGTTATCACCTCCCGCTCAGCCTCCTCTCAGGCTGAATTTGCTGCTCTCAGCCTCCAGTCTGGTGGATGATGTTGCTCCTATTGCATGTCTGTATGGAGCTAAAACTGTCACTATTTGGTGAAGAGGCTTTGCTGTGTGTTACAAGCTGGTGTATTTATTTACACTTAACAAGCCTAAAGCATGCATATTTATTATACAAAACATTAGTAATTGACAGAAACAAGCCATCAGCTGTTCACAACATAGTTCACAACAGAGCTGTGAAGCAGTGCTGTTCTAGAGCCTGATGCCATGGCAAGGGAGCTGTAGTGCTCCTGAAAAAGAAATCTTGTGACATGGAACAGTGGTGTGCACAACCAGATAGCAGTGGTTTTTTCTTGGACATTTTCTTTCCATGATTCAGGAAAGCAGAAACTGTTGGAAGCCTCAAATGAAGATCAGTGAAAAATAGTGCTGAATTGAGAATTGTGGCCTATAGATGCAGCATAGACTGATTAGTGATAGAAAACAGGAGAGAGCCAGAGACAACCCAACACCTTGTTTTAAAAACCACAGTGTCTGCAGGTTTTGATCCTGCTGGAATAAATATGCTCTAAAACAAGGAGGAAAGCAGTATTTTAAATCTTTTTGCTGAAGAGAAAGGACAAACTGTCCTTCCATTTGGTTTACTTTTATAGGGTAAGGCTGGAGAGCCTGTCACTTCTCCTAAGATTCCTGCTTAGAAGGAGTGAGGGCCCAAGCGTCTACCTCAGTGGTTGTTTTCTGGTGCTAGGAAATAACAGCAGGATCTAACAGGTTTCTCTAGTACCTTAAAAAGGTTGGTTTTGCCTGGTTTCCACTGGGTACAGCCTCTCCTATTACCTGGCTGCAATACCACTCACAAAGCAAGCAAGAGAAATCATGATTTTCTCATTTGAGTACCTGGATTTTCTTACAGACTTTCTCCCCTGTTCATGGAATTCCATAGAAGCTGGCTGAAATGACATGTTAATGTACTTCTAAAATAGAGGTTTCAAGTTGAAAGCTTAACAAACTGCAGTGTAGTCCATGAAGGAAATTACCATTAAACACAAATTGGAAAAAGGGATTCTTTTCTTTAAGCCAAATTTCTCTCTTCAATGCCAGAAAAAAGAGTTGTTTTTCCATTTTAAAGACACATCTCCCTTCCAAGCAGGTTGGAGTTCATCTGTAGCAGATGAATTTGCTAATAGAAGGGAGCAGTTGATTGGCAAGGCTGTGCCTGTTAGATCTCACATCTGTATGTAATCTGTGCCTCTCACACACGCCCCAAAGTCTGAATCACTCAGTCATCCTCTGTGTACTAAAATGCTCCTCCCAGAGCCCAGAGTATTCTCTTCCCTCTCAAATCAGGACAGTGAAGGTAGGGAAGAGCATGAGGGCTTGGGAGCAGCTAAAGAGTACATAGAAGGATTAGCTTCCGGTCCTCTGGGCTTACAAACAGGTTACATCTCTGACCTTACCAGGACAGGACAGCTGCTCACAGTGCATTGACAGTTGCTGAGAATAATCCTCTTTTACACCAGCTGCGCATAAGTCATTTACCACTTCCATGCAGGAGCCATTTGGGTACCTGAGCACTTGGTTCCAGAGTCCTTCCTGGTCCCTAGCTGGAGCAGTTGTTGCAAAAAGAGCCTGGATGGTGTCTGTCTTCTGCCTTCTCAGATGAGGTGGTGATCCAGCCTGAATACTCCTCAAATGGCGCAGAAAAAGATTCCTGGGCACACAATGCAAAGTGATGGCTGTGCTCTCCCTGACATTTTAAGTCCATCAGGAGGACTGGTTGCTTTCCTACTGGCAGACCTGGGGGATATCTGTCCTGCAGCCAGCATACAACCAGTATCAACTCTCTAACAAGCCATCTGACTAACTTAACAGAAAAAAAATTCTGCTTGTGTCTGATTTGTATCAAATCAGGTATAGTAAGACACACCTGGTGTCAATTATGAAGCCACAGCCTATTGACCACACTAGACTTGGTTTTACTTGTTTTTTTCCCCTCCGCTTTAGTAGGTTTTACAGTCTGTTTAGCCGGAGATCTAAATTTCTGTTTCTGCAGTCTTGAGACCACATCAAAGTACTTCAGCACTCAGGCATCAGCTGTATTAGAAGAGAAGGCCTGTCCTAGAGATTTTCTCTCTGTACCTCTAAGACTGTACTTGACAAACTCCTTTAAAAATTCCCGGGAATCTGTTTTGTAGAGTTCTACATTATATGAGTCAATGCAAACGGA